AAAAGTAATATAATATTTGGAAGAAACTCTTGAGAGAAAATCTTCCATTGTACATGCTCTTTAGAAACTCCACTATTGTGGATGCTCTAAGGCAAAGATACCGAAAGCCTACACGATTCCTTGGATTCCAACGGAAACACACATACTCGGTCACCTTTTAACTCCCATTACAGTCAAAACAGTAATGCATAGGAAGAGTAAAGTAGCGATAAAGTTTCCCAACCAAAAAAGATCAAACGATAGGATAAGCAAGTGCATAGAACTATCTCGACTTTTTTTACAACATGTGCTTACGGAACCATTGACGTTATTTTTAATGGGGCTTATAATGGCATTGTCAACACAGACTTGATGGGTTTTTGGTGCACATTGAACTTTGGGTTCTGTTTGGCAAATGATTTGGTGATTATTTGGCTCGGCGGCTCCTCATGTCATGTGTTTGGATGAGCTACACGCACCACTCTATTTTCTTACCATATTTGCGCAATTATGTAACTTTGTCCTTGTATGGATCATATATAGCACGAGTTAGAGTTTCGAAGTCATACTTTACATCTACTTCACTTAACATGGTATTATATATATAATTTTGGGGCTAATAAGTTGAAACGGACTAATATACAAGAAGGATATTATTACAAACAACATTAAGAAACAAAACAAAGAAAGAACCCTTGAAGGGAGGAGGAGCTATAGAGGTACTTAATGAATGGACATGAAACTTGTGAAGCAAGGCACCTGAAAACTAGGTTTACGTTGAAAGAATCAAGAGCTTGCGCATTATCTCCTTGAGAAATGTACTCAAGTTAAGTCTCCCTAGTTACAAAATACACGAGCTTAATAAAAACAAAAAAATCTCAACTTGGCGAAATTTTGTGCCTTGGACATAATAAAAGGATAGTGATTAATTTGACCCACAAGCTGTTTAATCATAGGCTTTAATTTATAGCTTTGAAACTGGTTCTCAGATCTAAGATCTAACATAAAGCCTATCCCTAGCGTGAATGCAAAATATATAGTCACTACTCCTGCTTTGGAAAGCTAACAAAGAGCTGAACCTAATATTTAACCAACCTCTTTGAATTCAAGTTAAATTTGCTATTCGTGGCAACGTAAAACACATGGCGGGCTTACACTTTAAGGGGTTTTAAATGGCAAAGTCAGCATACTCTTGATGGTTTTTTGGTGCACATTGAAATTTGGGTTCTGTTTGGCAAATTAGCCGAACTTGAGGGCTTTTTCCAACATTTTTCCCGGAATAACAAGACAAGGTTCGTTCCCATAATCATTAATTTGGACCCAACTTTTACAGTTTTCCCTTGTTTTATATATATCCTTACGAGATGATTATCATAGTAAACTCAAACCAAAACACACACAGTACACAAGCAAAAAAAAAGTCTGAATATGTCTCGTGAACTACTCAAAGTCTTGCAAATAGTTCTTGTTCTGTTCTGTACCCTGTCTTCATACTCCAATGGCAAATTGATCCCGGAGGGAGCTGCAGCATTCGACTCCTCCGATGGTTTCATCATGTTAACCAACACCACAAAGCACGCATGCGGTCAAGTTTTCGACAACGAACCAGTTAAGTTAAAGAACTCAGATTTTAACTTCTTCTTCGTCTTCGGAATCGTCCCTGAGGATAAGCAGCAAGGATCACATGGTATGGCTTTTGTTTTCTCCCCTGGAAGAGGCCTTCCCGGAGCTTCCTCTAATCAGTACCTCGGATTATTCAACGAGACCAACAACAATAAGACCTCGAATCACGTGATAGCTATCGAGCTAGATATACATAAAGACCAAGAGTTTGGAGATATTGATAACAATCATGTTGGGATTAATGTTAACGGTTTGAGATCTGTGGTGTCTGCTCCCGCTGGCTACTTTGATGATAGTGACGGAAGCTTTAAGAATCTTTCACTGATAAGCGGAAATGTGATGCGGCTTTCTATTGCTTATAGCCACACTGATAAACAGCTAAACGTCACCTTAAGCCCAATTGAGTTCCCTTTTCCGCCGCAGAAACCGCTTTTGTCTTTAAAACAAGATCTCTCGCCGTATTTTTCGGACGAGGTGTATTGGGGCTTCACCGCATCAACTGGATCCATTGGTGCAATTCATTATGTGTTACGTTCGTCCTTAAATCAAGGAGTAACTGAGCATCCAAAGTTTGAATATAACGTAATCCCCATCCTTCCACCATATCCCAAGAAATCTTATGACGCTACAAAACTCATTTTAGCCATCTGCTTAACGTTATCCTTGATTGGTGCATTCGGCGCATCGTGGACCGGATATGTCTTCTATTTGAGGCATAAGAAGGTTAAAGAGGTTCTTGAGGATTGGGAGATTCAGTATGGTCCTTACAGGTTCGCTTATAAGGATCTTTTCAGTGCCACAAAGGGTTTCAAGGCGAAGAGACTTCTTGGAAGAGGAGGATTTGGTCCAGTATATAAAGGGATACTTCCAGGTTCTGATACAGAGATCGCTGTGAAACGGACTTGTCCTGATTCAAAACAAGGGATGAACGAGTTCCTAGCCGAGATATCGACCATTGGCCGTCTTAGACACCCGAATCTAGTGAGGCTTCTGGGATATTGTAGGCACAAAGAGGATCTCTACTTGGTTTACGACTTTATGCCTAATGGGAGTCTTGACAAGTATCTGCACAGAAGCGAGACTCAACAACGGCTCACCTGGGAACAACGTTTCAAGATCATCAAAGACATTGCATCCGCTCTGCTCCACCTTCACAAAGAATGGGTACAGATAATCATCCATCGAGATATTAAACCAGGAAATATCCTCATGGACCACGAAATGAATGCGGTGCTCGGGGATTTTGGATTGGCGAAGCTACAGGATAAGGGATTTGACACTCAGACATCACAAGTAGCGGGAACCATGGGGTATATGGCACCTGAGTTCTGAGAACAGGAAGAGCAACTACAAGCACTGATGTTTACGCCTTTGGTTTGGTTATGCTTGAAGTTGTTTCTGGTAGAGGGCTCATCGAGAGACGTGAAGCGAAGAACGAACAAGTTCTTGTCGATTGGATCCTCTACCTTTGGGAAGAAGGCAAGATTTTCCATGCGAGTGAGGAAACTATTCGCCAAGAAGAAAACCGGGGACAAGTTGAGCTTGTTTTAAAGTTAGGTATCTTGTGCTCACATCAAGCTGAATCGGTTAGACCGGATATGAGTGCGGTTATGCGGATTTTGAATGGACTTGTGAAGCTTCCGGATAATCTTCTTCATGTGGTAAAGGAAGAGAGATTGAGACGATGGCCTGAAATATCAGTGGACATGCTACTTGATATGAGTCCAAGAGCTACATTGACGTTTACAAATTCTTTCATCGACCAAGAAGAATCTTAAACAAACAAACAAAATGG